TAAATTGGATTGTACACAAAGGGTGTTTGCAGTTGACAGCGTACCAAGAGCTGCTTCATACTGTCCAGAATGTTATTGTATACAATTCTTACTTGATAGTGTTTCAGGCAGCTAAATTAGAAATATTATAGGCAGTCAGACAGGGCCAGGCCCTGGAGACAATATGGAAGACAATGTGACTTTGCAACTTTGGAAGAGACAGACACTCTTGGTATGGATGGGCCAGATCTCAAGACAAAGGAGTGAACAAATGCAGCCACCTACTACCCTAGGGATGGGCACCAGGGATTGATATGATAAATATGTATAAGTCACCATGAAAGATCCCAAAAGAGTCACTGATCAAACCTCCAATTTGACTCTGTCTAGTATTCACACCCACTAGCTATGTGACTTGTTTCCCCATTCAGTTGTGGATCTAATCAATTTTACCTGAGCAATGGTGTTTGTAATATCATTGGTTGACTATAGTTCTGTCCTACCTCATGCCCATCTAAGTGAGTTCTCGTGTTCTGCACTTTAGACCCACCTCACTGCATGGTTTTACTCCATAAAAATCCCTGGAAGAGACGGATTCCCAGAGCAACCTGCTAGGGTCCCCTGTCTGTCCCATTTGTCTCTCTCTCAGAGAGGAGCTTTCTTTCGCCAAAAAATGTTCTCTTCTTAACTTCTGCTTGGTCCTAAAATTCATTATCACGTTTTGGAAAACATGAACTCGTCCCAGATACCTTTCAGGTCAGGAGTTTCATTCTCCTACATAAATAAGATTTTAAGAGAAGTGAAATGATTATTTCAGGTTTTCTAGCTTGTAAAAAAGAATTAGCTACCTGGGAATTTCCTCATTTCATTAATATTTTCTTAAATGTACCCTTTAAAAATTTATCCTTAAGCACAAAATTAAGATAATATCCTATTTTACCAACTTACTTGTAGTCTTAAATGACAGATCTCTAAACTATAAAGCATGAATAAGCTTGAACCCCAACATCTCTGTCAGCCTTGAGTCCTACTAAGTGATCTTGATTACACAAAACAGAGTTTAAGTCATTCAACGCCTCCCAAATTTATTGGCTTGAATTATTTAGCAAGAGCCCCAATTTTTTATTACAATTCTACAAGCCCAAATCTGACCAAAGCCCTTGCTTTTAAAATTCCTACAGAGTAAAGCTAATGGAGTTTCCACCAGCATTATCTTCAAGTTTTGTACATTTAGTTAGTAGTTTCCAGGTCACTAAACATACCCTCCCCACAAGAGTCAGGAATCCCTTTGAACCCTTAGCTTCTGCAGAAAATTGATCTAAACCTCCTTTCTATTCTCCATGGCAAATTTCCCACAAAAACATCAAGAGGCACTTGGAATAGAGGCGGGCATTGTCTTATGTTGAGACAGGCCACTGGGTAAGCAAATAGACCCACGCAGAAGATAAAGATTGTTTATAAATAACAGCTCAAAACTCTGATAGAGTCAACAACTCTGCTTCCCATGGTGGGTAATGGTTTCTTGAGATTGTATATGCAGGAGACATGTAGATAGCAGTTAGAAAAAGAAGCCCAGAGAGAATTAAAATGTATGTCAGAAGGAAAGGGTAGGGGGAAATGGCAGAGGTTCCAGGACCAGGCAAAGGAAAGGGGTATACCAAACACTGCAAAGACAAAGGCATGATAACGTTTCAAACTTCACTGTCTTTCTTAAATAGAAGACAGGCCACCCTCTGGGAACTGGGCCTTGTCTCAAGAGAAGTGCTTCCCATAGCAAAAGAAAGCTTTCCTTCACACCCAGCTGGTACCAAGAACTCCCAGTCTGCAGCTTTGGCACTCTCAGCAGCATGCTGACTCACATGGCCTGGTGCCTCATCATGCTTGCATTTGCCCAGACATCCACTGAGTCAGGTACATCACAAATGCTCTTGTAAACCTGCTGGGGAGCCCAAAGACACACAAGGTGCAAAAGGGAGAATCTCCACTGATTTTCACAGATGAGTTAATATGGGGTGTAAACCCCAGCTTACCTGGACATGAGTCTATATACAACAAGGTGACTCTGAAAACTTTTTCTGCAAAAGGCCTTAGGATCACATGTTCTAAGCCTAATGCCGTTTTAGGAAAACCTTTTCAGCAGCCTAAGGTGTTTGATATTCAGACAGATAGTGAGGTTAAGCTCAACTGCCTAGGTTGTAGGGTAATAACAATGAGCTTCTCTTCTGGAGGGTTAACAACCTAAGTTTGCAGACCAAAAATTACAGGAAAAGGAGGGCTGCAAGGACAGCCAACATTTTGGCCCTAACCTTTCAAGGTGAGTAAGGACTCAGGACATAGGAGAACCTGTACTGTAACATCATATAACTCAGTTGTGTACCAAATTTTCTGATTAAGAAGATTATGGGGCCACAGAGGAAAGTGATCAATGATATAGAGTGTGCCTAAGGAGAGTCACATGGAGAGAAAACATTCTCTCAGGCTTTCACAGAGAACAAATTGGTCAAGCAATGGCCATGACTCATCCACATGACTGACACTGACAAAGATCTACAAAGTGCAGTACAGGGTTTCAGGATAAATCCTGAGGAGATTTGACTGACCTTATCAGATACAAAAGCTACATTTCTTGTTATATAGGTCCTGCTTTATCTTGGTCTTAACCATCCAGCAGAAAAGTATAAAAATGAAGTATAAAAAGTAAAGCCATATTAATATACTGAGTTATAAAAGGCTCAAGTCAACAACTTCTGACATTGCCAGTCCTATGGAAAACCCACTACTATTATGGACTACTGGACTATATTGGAATGTTTATCTGAATTCGTGCACCCGTAGTATTTAAATGACAATGGAATACCCTTTTCTGACAAAACTAAACAAAAAAAGGAGATACAAATGAAGGACCATTTTATATCTGCACATTCAAAATAGGATAAATATACAGCTACTTTCTCTTAACTCAATGAATAGATTTGTTGTAATAGTGTTTGTAAACAGGATATCATGTCTGCATCTTGTACAATGAATAACCAGTAAGACAACAATATACAATGTATTAATTATTGAAACTGTCCTACTAATCGGATTTGAAACTGTCTCATTGCTATTTGTTTCTCAATAAAATTATTGAAAAAAATTATGGGGGGCCGGAGAGAAAGAAGTCACTATAAACTTCCAGCAAATGGCCAGAGTAAACATTTGTAGTTTTGTGAACCATAGACTGTCACAGCTATTAAGACTGCAGTTGTAGAAGAAAGCAACTGTAGAAAGTAAATGAATGAGACCACGCTCCAATGAAGCTTTATTTATGGACATCAAAATTTGACTTCACATTTACATGTTATGAGACGTTCTCACGTTGAGTTTCTTCTGCCTCTTACCTCATAGGTCATTCAAAACAAGCAGCTAGCTTGATTTGGCCAGCACCCCAGTGCTGGGGTCAAATCCTCAACTGATGCAGCTGGAAGATAAACGTTTCTGCTATCAACTGAAATGGAGGAGTTCAGGGAAAGGTGGTGCAAAGAAGGAGACGGTACCATGGAGCTGCATGAATCATTGCTCTCTATTTTCTCTAACAGGCTTTGACATACTTAGTCTTGTTGGCAGGACAGGCTGTCCAAGGAGGCAAAAATCTCAGCCTGCCATGTTCCTTTCAGAGGCAACCCCACTAACCCCTCATCTACGCCTGTCCCCTTTATTTCACTATCACGTACATTCCCCCTGTCCCGAATCACCACAGGCCCAGGTGCTAGGCACCTAGAGACCACCCCAACTGCCCAGAGCTTGCTGGAGTTATTCACTCTTGCCCATTCCAGACACTCACCCTGCCCTCTTCCCTTTTCAAGTAATCCTCCATAAGCCCACAGCCTGGGCTTTCTTCGCATTTCAGATCCTGCCTCCTGATCCTCCTGTGGCCCTTCATGCGATGTATTGAGCCCCCTTCTCTCCAGCGATGGAAAATACATCTTTCAGTGGTACTGGCCACTCTTGTGTCATTTCTCAGACTACCATCAATTAAAATCTCCAGATAGCAATTAGACAGGGACAGGAGTGCCTCTACTCTACACAGGGTCTTGGACCAGCAGCAGCATACCCTGGGTGCCAGCCTAGACTGATGGAACCCAGTCAGCAGGTAAACAAGATCGCCAGACTCTGTGTATGGGTGCAGAAGCTGCAGATCCCCAGTGGTGTGGTTGGAAACGTGAGCTGTGCAATCAGAAAGCCAAGCTCAAATCCTTGTATGCTCATGTTCACTATCTAACTTTGGAAAAATTCATTATTAATTATGTATCTGTTTTCACACCTAAAAGTAGGGATAAGAGCCAGCCAGATAGCTCAGCAGACTGAAGCGCCTGCTTAGGAAAAGCACAGTAGGCCAGAGTTCGATCCCTGGCCTGCTGTGCTGGCCCTGCCCCCAAGGCCTGCTGAGAAGGCGATTGAGACTAGGTGTGGTAGCGCGCTCCTGTAATCCCAGTGCTTGAGAGGCTGAAAACAGGAGAATCACTACAAGTCTGATCTATGTAGTGAGACCCTCTGGTCCCTGTGCTAAATACATAAAAAAATAAATAAATAAATAAATAAATAAATAAAAATAAAAGTGGGGCTAATGATCACATACTCTGCAGTATGTTCTTAGAAAGTACCTGGCAAATAGTACCAAAATAAGACCTAAGCAGAAAATAAACCCAGCTGGTTGTCACCACGGCGATGGCCAGTGTCATGCAGATCATACCTCAGGACTCTGACTCAGTGGCTCCCCTGTAATGGCAGTGGAGGATAGGCTGACTGGGGCTGGTGTTCTTCATCTCTAGTTTTTAAGGATCTTAGGTCTTATTTTGAGGTAAATCTGGTATTCACCAAATGTTTACTACAACTCATTTTCAGAAAGCAATACATGTTCCCATATTCCTTCAGGCCAGTTCCTCCAGGACACACTGACTGTGAGCTGCAGCCCCAGGACTACAAAGCCAACCCATGCAACAATCCCATCCATAAGAGAAAACAAAGACACCACAACAGGCCGCAGAGTATAAAATATATTGATGGCAGGAAAGGGGCAAATGGAGCTGGTGTAGGCTGCTGGGATGACACGCAGCTCACATACATGCTCTGTTTCTCATAGTACCATGTCATGAAGTTGGCAAATACATCTGTTTTGAACATGGTGTTTTGCTTTTTCATCAGCACAGATTACTACTCTACAGTTTCTCCTAGAGTACATACGCACGACAGCTGTTTGCAGAGCACTACAGACCTATTTAGATGTTTAACATAGGTGAACTACTTCACGATTAGATCAGTCACTGAGTTAACAGCAATGGGTTTTGCACTGTTTTGTTCACTGCTATGGGGAGGAGGCAACTTTTCCAATTTATTCTTTGTTTCCATATTTAGCCACCAACTGACTCCAAAAAGTATGTAAGATAAGTCTGTTTAAAAAAAAAAAACTGTGACTATACCCTTAAAGTCAGAGTATTTAAATTTACAAGAAAAAAAATCAGGTGCTATGGAAAACCTAATAACAAAAAACATCCTGACAGATACATCTGTAAAACACGGTGGTCAGTTGTAAACAGCTCAGAAGGGCAAAGCAAACAGAAAAAGTCCTCCTAGAAAGGGAAGGAGATCGACAACCACAAACTCTGCTTTTTTTCCCCCCAGTGGCTATTTTCCTACCACAGTGTTGAGCTTCATTATTATATTAAATAACTTATATGGATAAAAAGGAGTTTGCTAACCAGCAGCCAACTCAAAACCTCATAGGAAAAGGGAGGAGAGGAATTTACAGCACAGCGCACACTGAAGGAAAGCCAAGTCCTCTTCCAGTCAGCTGGTCAGTAGTCCCCTCTCCAGCAAAGCTGCTGGAGCTCAAGTCTGGGACCCAAAATGAGGGGGTTTTCCCCTCCCTCCTCTCCCTTTTTCATTTAAATTAACAAAGGAACCTGGGCTTCCTAAGAACCAGCGCTCAGCTGGTAAGTCCCATTAGCAGCAAAGGTTCAACCAAATAAAAACACACACACACAAAAGAAAACTCCATCCGGTGCAGGGCTGTGATTCACATGGAAATTCCAGGAGATGAATCATGTGTAGCGCCTGGATCTTTAGAGGATTCTTTCTCAAGTGTCTTCAGTGAACATTTCAGTCTCACAAAAAAAAAAAAAAAAATCCGAGTCAATCTGTCAGCTGTGGGCAATGGGCTCCCCATCTGCTCTGGAGTGAGCTTGCTTGCTTTCCAGACCCGAGCGTTCTGAGGCCCACGGAGTCCTCCTGATTGATTGTAGCTCTAGATGCCAGAAGACAAAAGCTGGCCCTTGCATGATGTGTAGGAGGCAGCAGATGCAGCAACAGCAGCTCCCATGTGTTAAACTCTGCCCAAGAGGCTCGACCTGGTGATAGAGAGCCATGTAAGACACAAGGCGGCCGGCTGTGTCTCTTATGCTACGTCCTGGCTACTTGGATCTATTAAAGCGTATAAATGTGTCAAATGCAATGCATACAGGCTGTCTTTGAAAATATTAATAGAATAGCAAAAGTTTTAAATTTGGAAAAACTCAAGTGTGAAAGTCCCAATTCTCTTTCTTAAACTCTTTTAAAAGAGGGGACCGATATCTAATTGATGAGTGATGCCAACTTGATCATCTTGAACTGGTCCCAGTATTAACCACTAGCATTTTTATTTCCCTCTGGTCAAATAAAAGTTTTGGATTGGAGGAACTGTTCAGAAATAAAGTCTCAACTTCCAATCTTTTAGACAAAGAAAAATAAAAAGAAAAGCACAGAACAATGCAACTAATCGACTTTAGTGCCTCATTCTATTGCATAATCCAAGAAAGAAGAACAGGCCCATTGTACATATGCCAGTAAATAAATAGCAATAAACTTGAGCAGTGGTGATGGGAATTCTAATCCATAGACATTTGACTTTCAGAGGATGCATTGCAGGGACTGGGAACCCCTAGGGAGGGGCAGCCTAGGAATCAGGGGCAGCAAGGTCAACACTTGCAGTGGCAAGCACAACACTGAGAGGCAATGAGACCCACCTTAAAGACTTCCACCTGTCTTTCTCTATGTGGTTTTCAGGTCCTTCACTCTCGTAAGAAGCCAAGTAGAGAGCTATGGGAAGAAAGAATGCATTAACGCTGGGCCTTCTCCTGACAGGGTACCCTCCACACTGTCTGTCTCCTGTTCAGTGGGAGCCCAGCCCCCCATAAAACATTCTGTAGGTGGGCGCAGTGATACACACCTGGAATCCTAGTACTCTGGGAGGTTGAGGCAGAGGACCATAAGTTTGAGCCCAGCTGGGCAATTTCATGACTTAGCAAGACTGTATCCAAATAAAACTTGAAAAGGACTGGGAATGTTACACAAAGCGAAGACTGAGTTCAATCCCAGTACAAAACAACAACAAAAAATATTATTTTAAGACCAAATGAGTGCTAGGGATATAGCATAGCAGTATTAGCACCTGCCTGGCAAGCACAAGGTCGTGAGTTTGATCCCTAGTACCAAAAAGAGAGAGAGAGAGAGAGAAAGAGAGAGAGAGAGAGAGAGACAGAGAGACAGAGAGACAGAGAGACAGAGAGAAAAAGACAGAGTGAGACAGAGAGACAGAGAGAGACAGAGACAGAGACCAAATGACAATAGAGAACACAGAAGAGTACTTTGACCACCTCAACAAAATACTCCAGGGTGGCATGGCCAAACAGGCACTTAACAAACTCAAAATTCATAAAGCCAAAAGGCTTATAATTATGTAAACCACACAATGCTGTCATTTATTCAGGTTTATGTTCTTTACAAAGAAAGAGGTAGCAGTTTTTTCCAGGACCACTCAGGTTTTTAAAAACCCTTAGTCCTAGAACAATTTTCCTTCGTAGCCATGTTTTTTGTCTCCTTTCTAAATCAGAAAGAATCTTCACCTAAAACTTTAAAACGTTATTATTAACCTTAGAGATTTCCTAAGATGTGTGCAGTATTAATTAAAAATGATCTTGGGGGCTGGGGAGATGGCTCAGTGGAATAAGTGCTTCCCTGGCAAGTACAAGGACATGAGTTCAATCCCTGGCTCCACAAAAAAAAAAAAAAAAAAATGATTTTCCCTCATAGTTACAAACACTATCAATTGAATATGAGAAATGAAAAACTTAAAATATTAAGATATAACAAATCAAGATTATATCCCTCACTCTTTTACAAACTCTTCTGGCGATTTTTTCCCCATAAATACTTAATCACTTTTTTCTGCCTTAATTTCTATAGTGTTTTTATAAATCAAGACTTCCCTGATTTTTTGGGGCTGGAGAGATGGCTCAGTGGTTTAAAGCACCTACTTGGAACAAGCTTGGCAAAGCACAGAGACCGCGGTTTGATCCCCCAGCACCACATGCCAGCCAGCCGCGCCCCCTGGTGGGCTGAGCTGGCCACACACACACACACACACACACACACTAAATAAATGTTAAATAAATAAATAATTAAAAAAAAAAAAAAAGACTTCCCTGATTTTAATTTGCTGTAATGGTCCTCCCTAACTCCAAAACTACCCTGACAAAACACAAAACACCTTTTTTATCCACCACTGAAGAAGTCTAAATAAGAAGAAACCCTTCCATCAGTGTCCATTTATGCCCAGAGCTTTGTACATGACGTACTTTGAAGGCTGTTCAACATGGAAACATACTGTTTATTGGTGAAGATTAAGTAAAAATATTTAGGAATAAATCAAAACATTTTCTCTGTCATTAGAAAAATACTCTTCAAGTGGAACAGACCACCGGACTGGCCTCACACTTTCTGGAGCACTAAGCATTCGCTGCTGCACCCCGGACTCGGGGCTGCTGGGGCGGTGCTCACCATCTTCACTGAAGACCGGCACGGTGAGCAGGTACTGCAGGATCTTCCGGTCCCTCTCAAATGGACACTCCACCTGCTTCCAGGTCATAAATTCACTCACTTGTTTGGCCAGTTCCCAAAATTTCTGGAAGACAATGAGAGAGAAGAACTTCAAAGCAATCATCAAAAAAGATCACCGCGGCAACTGCCTAAGATATAGGGTAATATCATTAAGCTTCTCTTCTGGAGGATTAACAACGTAAGTTTGCAGACTGAAAATTAGAGAAAAAGAAGGGCTGCAAGGAGAGCTGACATTTTGACCCTAGCCTTCCAAGGTCAATTAAGACTCAGAACATATGAGAACTTTTTCTCAGTTGCATCTCAAATTTTCTGATCAAGGAGATTATGGGGCCACAGAGGAAAGTGATCAATGATGTAGAGTGTGCCTAAGGAGACTCACATGGAGAGAAAACATTCTCTCAGGCTTTCACAGAGAGCAAATTGGCCAAGCAATGGCCATGATTTATCCACATGGCTGACACTGACAAAGGATCTACAAACGGCAGTACAGGGTTTCAGGGTAAATCCTGAGGGGATTTAACTGACCTTGTCAGAAACAAGTTACATTTCTTGTTACATAGGTTTTGCTTTATCTTGGTCTTAACCACCCAGCAGACAAGTATAAAAATGAGATATAAAAAGTAAAGCCATATTAATATGCTGAGCTGTAAAAGGCTCAAGTCAACAACTTCTGACATTGCCAGTCCTATGGAAAACCCACTACTATTATGGACTACTGGACTACATTGGATTGTTTTGCTGAATTCATGTACCTACAATATTTAAATGGCAATGGAATACCCATCTCTGACAAAACTGAACAAAAAGGGGATGAAAATGAAGGATCATTTTGCACCTGTGTATACAAAATAGGATAGATATATGGCTACTTTCTCTTAATTCAATAAGAAGAAAGATTTGTACTAATAGCGTTTGGACAGGATATCATGTCTGCATCTTGTATTAGGAATAACCACTACAAATATAACAATATGCAATGTATTAATCATTAAAACTGTCCTATTAGTTTTGAAACTGTCTCATTGCTATTTGTTTCTCAATAAAATTAATAAAAAAAATGAAGGTAGTTGGCACAGCTCTTGTTGAGGAAATAAATGTCTTTGATTAAGAGCCTGAAGAATTGTATCATGATCTAGAGACGATTCCATGTAAAAGAAAGAAAAAAAGAAACAAAGAAAGGCTTCCTCCTAGGTTTTTCAAATTCTAAATTAGATACTTTTTTCATAAAAACTGTCTGCTCACTAGATACAGGTAAAGATGTATTCAAACTCCCTCAATTATTGATAATAATAATAACAGCACAGCAACTGCATTCTGCTTGTTATTATTGATCTCTTATGAACAACAAGGAAAGAGAAAGATTGTTCTGGGACTGCAGAGCCAGTGCTGGCTGCCAACCTGGGGCCACACACTCAGAAGACGCCCCTGCCTTGTGTGCAGCCCATTTGATGCACTCACCTCAAAATTGACATGGCCATTTGGAAGGCGGTTGGCACAGCCCTCGTTGAGGAAATAAATGTCTTTGATTAAGAGACTGAAGAACGGGATCACAATCTAGAGAAAACAAAACATTCTGGTTTGTCTGGGCATCAAATGGTGTAACAGCTTAGTAAACAACATCAACTGACTCGCACAGAAGCCTGCAATGAGTCAAGGTAGTGTTCCCCATACAACACAAAACAGCAGTTTCCCCCTTCAGACAATTCTGCCTAGGGTGCCCAGCAAGAACAGCCAGTATTGGAAAGCAGACAGACAAGTGTTTCTCCTAGCTTTTCTGAGTCTGGCTTTTTTTTTTTAGACAAAGTTTCTCTATGTAGTTCAGCCTGGCCTTGAGCTTCAGGTGATCCGCCTGCCTCAGCCTTCTCACGTGCTGAGATTAGAGTGCGTGTCACCATGCCTAGCTTTCCAATTCCCCTCAATACATGTGCTGAAATCTGACAATTCAGGTATAATGAAAGATAAAAATGCCTCAAAGAATTTTTGGTTTTCTTTGGCAACCTTAGTTATGATTTAATTTTTTTTTTTTT